TGAATATATATATATAAATGTATAATGTTATGAGATTTAAACTATTTAGTCTAAACATTTATGTTTTAATTTTTTGTCACTCTAGAACGAATAAGGCAGAAGCATAATTTATATTTATTTCCTTATTTTTTATGGTGATTACAACATCGGTCAAATCTACCGAACCCATACAGAGATTCGTTAGTGAAAATAAGAGATAAAATATAGTTTTTTTCTTAAGAAACATTTGATAACTATTTGGACATTATAAGAATTTTGCATGTGAAATTTGAAAATTTTCTAATGCATAAAAGTATTTTTAACCTTAACAGCAAATTACTTTGCATGTTGGATAGGCAACGTGCAAAAAGAAAAAAAAAGGGAATGAGAAAAACATTGCTTAACAAACCTTAAGACTTAATAAAAAAAATTATATTTTGTGTAAGAAAGCATTGTAATGTTTGCTGATAATCTGCTAATTTCATTAACATACAAGTTATAGCATGAAAACTATAACAAGCATAAAATGGTTACAAGGTCAGTCCCAGTGACCAAGCCCATGCTGAAAGAGTTAACCTGCAAGTAGATATGTCAGTTCATAGAATTAACGATTATTTGTGGCCCCCAAACTACCTTATTCATATATTGTTCGGTTAGTTTAAGTGCAAAGCTTCAAAATGGGATATCTGCATTGCACGTAATGCAGGAATTGAACCCCACATTTTAGTGTTACAAGTTTTCAAGCTTACAACCGAGCCATCATGAACATAACATTCAATATTAAAGTAACAGCTGAAATGCTTTTTATTTCTACTGGATGCACTAACAATTATAAAGTTGTAACAACAAAAACTTTCCACACTGATTAGATATGAAGCAAATGAAGTCCATTAAAATATAATTACAATACTTCAAGATTCTTTAGTGATGAAATTATAAACATTTCTTATAAAAGTTACCTGAGAATTCTCTGTTACTTCACTATAGTTCTCTTCTTGTTCCTTTTTTGGTACTTTAGAATCAAAGGTAGAATGTGAAGATGTTTTTCCTTGAGCAGCAGCTTCTGTTGTTACAAGTATAGAAAATATATTTTTGTAATAACTTTTACTATGATTTAATGTACTAGTACATTTATGCAAAAGAAACACTTAAAAGTTTAGAAATTCCCTCTCTTACAATTATTATTTTGTTTTAACTAAAATCTATACATTTTTTTCATCCCTCTCTGTACAAATTACGTTGTACAGTTTTCTCTGACACACTGCCTACTAGTCTTCAATGCTAAACACTACACAGCACTTAGACCAAATACAGTCCTTAAAGACATTATTTTAAAGAATGTGCTCTTGACACATCAACAGTGTGTTTAACCAACGTTATTAATTTCACTCTTATTTTTGCTCTTTTTCTCTCACACTTTAAAAGACATGATGTGAATGAGGCTCCAATATAAGTTATGCATTCATTTGTTTTGTCTAGAGACTTGGCCATTCACAGGAAGGAACTCAAGCATCTATTAAGCCTAGAGGTGTTTCATATTTGCATGGTTGTGCAGTATTTTGAGACATAGATATGCTCCTGTAAATTTACATAAAATTCTACATTTATATAAAAAAATTAGTATTTTTCATTTAAATATAACCAAAATGCTTTTAACTTTACTTACTTAAACCAGATATTCTAGATAAAAAAAAGTTCCGAGAATAGTACCATAACACATTCACTGCCCCCAAACAAGTACGTCCACAAGTATATTAGCCAGTACCATTAATGCACACGTGCATCAACCAAAATACTGAAAAATATGCATTTTATTGGAGTCGGCATGTGTTAGAAGCCAGTTCTGCTGTGACAGCGCTTGTGTGAGAGTCTTCTCTCCTAAAAGTTTTGTTTTGTTGTAAATTTTTTTTACATATATATATATATATATATATATTTTCTTTTTTTTCGTTTTACTAAGAAAGTAGAATTCAAAGGCCCACAGAAACTTTAATGGTGAAGAATTAACAGATTTATTAGACAACTTGGAGAGTTCATCTTTCTCCAAAAGTAAGAACAAGTATTTTCCATATGAAGAAAGTGACACTGATAATGAGGTATCAAATTCCTTTAAGGTATTGAATAAATCATTAGTTGAAAATGAAGACATTGAGCCAAATAATATTGCTAGGCCTAGTGACACTAGCTGCTGATATGACTATGTGAAGTGATGATTCATCAACCATGAAAAATTATAATTTACTGGAACTCTAGGGTTAAAAGTTGACCTTCCATTCAGTTTTTTCTTTTTTTTGCTAATGAGGAGTTATTTCTTTGTGGATCTTATGAAAACTTATGCATTACATAATGGAAGGATATTACTGTTGATAAGCCGAGTTTTGTTTGGGGTTGTTGCTTCACATGGGACATATTCAAATGTGATATTTCCATGACTAAAACTTACCCTTGTACATTCAAACATACCCGATAACCATAAAATATAAAAAATAGGTGAGGCATATGTGCATCATGATGCAGATTTTAGTTGAATAACCAAATATGCTCATAAATATTTGATATTTTTTGGAAATTTCAAAATGCTCCTAATAATAAAAAACAACAACAATGACACCTGGCATGGGCATCAATTTCAGAGATGGCAATGAATGTGTTGATCATTCATAACACAGACCCTCATGTCAAGTACAAAGCATAGCTATTACTCCACTCTAATTTTGCAAGTATCAAAAAAAAAGAAAAAAAGAAAGACATCTACAGAAGCAACAGATGTAAAAACAAGGCTGCAAATGGAAGAGTGAAATAACATTTTAAGAAGTTGAACAGAAACCCTACTGAAGTGTGTTATGTGGTTGTTGATCACAGTTGACTACCACCTATACCAGAGCAAGAAACATAAAATACATTCTTGCAACTGAAACTAAAGCAGACAAACCTAATGACCTACTTATAACTTCATCCCCACAGTTAATTCTGGGCAGTATCCCTGACAAAATTAAGTTATGGCCACTTTCTTTAAGTGCCTTTATCTACCCCTTATACTTATTAATCAGCTTCTCTGACCTACATTTCCCTACATCATTAGCCCCTACATGCACTACAAAAACTGCATCTCTGCTGGCCCCCTTTGTTATATCTCTTGCTCTGTCCCTGTGCCCCTGGGTAGCATAATCTGATTCTTTTCTCCCTATTTACCCCACAGACTATTCTAT